TAAATCAGGACTGTCCCACCAAAAGCGGGACGGCTGGTCACCTTAATCATATGACAAGTTTTCAGTGCCAGAGATGAAACTGCGTAGAAGCCACAGGCTTGGTCACAAAGTCCTGCTTTGTGGCCCATGATGCTGCCCCTCCATAGTCAGTTGGCTACAAATGTTCAGCTTTCATCACTTCCTACTGCACTACTCTTTGAGGGGGCCACACCCCTGCTGGGGAAGCCCCGTGTGGTTACAGAGGGAGCTCTCAGTAAGCTAAAAACAAACAAAAAAAACCCTAACCATCATGGAATCCATTCTGACTCATAGTGACCCTACAGGGCAGGGAGAACTGCCCCCGTGAGTTTCCCAGACTGTAACTATTCACGGGAGTGAAAACCTCATCTTTCTCCCACAGAGCTGGCTGGTGGTTTCAAACTGCTGACCTTGTGGTTAGCAGCCCAATGAGTAACCACTATCCCACCAGGATTCCAATTCTGGTCACTGAGGGCAATGAACATCCCATGTCTCATATGGAAGGAAAGCAGGAAGGTGGGAGGACATTCAGATGTTCGTGACTCACGGGTCTTATTAGCATATCCGTCACCTGAATGCCAGGAAGGACCCTCTACTATGGGACCAGTGGCCCTGCTGAGAATCCCCCATACTGTCCATGCTACTTGTAAACAGTGAACTGTGCCCAGGAGCACAGACATTAGGGACGAAGGACAGAACTCAGGACCCAAACAACACTCACCCCAAAGCTGATACCAAACCTAGGAACCCGTGTTTGAGGTGACCATAAAGCTGATGTCCATGAAGCGTTCTAAGGAAACTACCCCACGTTGCCTTAGAATGTCACATCAGATGGATTAACGGCCCTATGATGGGACTGGAGCATGAGAGTCAGAACCCCAAGAAGGAAGGACTTGCTCAGCATATCTGAAACGGAAAGACGTCAAGAAAAAAAATGCCAGCCTCAAGTAGCAATATCGAAAGAGTCTATGGGAAACATATTGAACGATGCAGGAAGCATCTAAAGAAGATGGGAAGAATAAAGTCACTGTACCAAAAAGAACTAGTTGGCAGTCCACCATTTCTGAAAGTAGCATCTGAGTAGGAACCAATGGTGCTGAAGGAAGAAGTCCAAGATGCACTGAACCAAAACAAGGCTCCAGGAACTGATGGGACACCGATGGAAATGGTTCCAAAAATGGATGAAGCCCTGGAAGTACTCACTCGTCTCTGCCAGGGAATTTGGAAGGCAGCTACCTGGCCAACCGACTGGAAGAGATCATATTTGTATCCATTCCCATGGAAGGTGACCCAACAGAATGCTCCAATTACAGAACAATATTATTCATATTCTGTGCATAAAACAACAAATACATTGCAGCAATACATTGACAA